TGCTCTGTAACGATTATAAGTTATTGGCGCTAATATATGCAGAGAGGTTAAAAACAGTCATCGATAGAATAGTAGATGAAACTCAGTCTGCGTTTATAAAAGGTAGAAGTATACATAATAATGTGAGATTAATATTGGACATGATGGACTACCGGTCTTTTCTGGAATCCGAAAGCCTGATTTTATTTATAGATTATTTCAAAGCTTTCGATTCTATAGAGCACGATTTTTTATTTTCTACTTTAGAACATTTTGGATTCGACAAAAATTTTTGTTCAGTGATCAAAATGTTCTATACTGATATTTACAGTCTCCTTAAACCCAGGACTAACACCTAGAATAAATATAACTTGCGGTATAAGACAAGGATGTCCAATTAGTCCCAAGCTGTTCATTTTATGTACACAGCTACTAGCATATCTGATATTAAATCATCCAAATTTTCAGGGCATACATTTTTTTTGAATACGAATTTCGCCTCAGTCAGTTTGCAGACGACACTGTCCTCTTCCTTAGGGATAAATCTATGGTTAGTATTGCATTGCAAATAATTTCAACTTTTTCCAAAGCTTCAGGTCTCCATTTAAATATAAAAAAGTGTGAAATACTTGCATTATTGGACTGTATAGAAACAGAAATAATGTCAATCCCTGTTAAAAAAGAAGTTAAGTATCTTGGAGTTAAGATGGTCAAAGATGAAAAGCAAAGAGAGGAAATAAATAAGAAAAAATTGATCAAATACAAGTATCCTTAAACCATTGGCTTAGTAGAGATCTTTCCATTTTTGGGTGTAACTTATTGTCCAAGTCTGAAGGTATATCCAAACTTATTTACCCATGTCAATCTTTACATTGCTCCAAAAAATGTGAGGAAAATTAACTCCATTATATATAAATTTATATGGAGAAATAAGACCTACTATGTTAAAAAATCTCAGTTGGTTAAAGAGTACAATAGGGGGGGGGGGGGGGGGGGTATCAAAACAGTGGACTTTGAGGCAATGTTAGGAACATTTAAAGTAAAGTGGTTGAAAGAGTTTCTATTGAAGCCAGATTCGATATGGTTCCACATTCCAAAAAGTATTTTCAAGATGTTCGGCGGGTTAAACTTTCTTCTGAAATGTGATTTTGAGATTTCCAAATAACCTTTCAAATTATCTGAGTTTCACAAACAGGTTTTGCATTATTGGAAGATGGTATTTACCCATAACTTTACCCCTCACTGTGCCACCTTGTGGAATAATAGAGTTATTGTATCAAACAAAAAGTCTTTGTTCAACCAACTGTGGTTTGAACAAGGTATTATCTTTGTACATGACATTTTAGATATAAATGGGGAAATCCTAGCTGCAAGATCTAAAAAACAAATTTAATAATATTCAATGTTCTCTTAAAGAATATAGGACAATCTGTAAATCCATCCCAGTGAATTTGATACAGCAGATAAAAAACACAATTATTTTTTCTAATGTCCAAATCAAGCTTCCAAACTTAACGATAGGGGAATTGAACCTGACGGACAAAAAATGTGATAACAAATATTTAAATAAAGCGTTCAAAGGTTATATATATCATGATTATGATAGGAAGATAAAACTTAAAATATTAGATAATCCAACAATTATAGAAAAACATTGGAAATTTATAAAATGGCCAATTGCACCCAAAGTAAAAGAAATGTAATTTAAAATTCTTAACAACTACTATCCATCTGCGGAGACACTGAGGGGTAGATTTGGTTTTGAAGTTGACCCTTGCGATTTTTGTCATGAACACCCAGAACAAACAGAACATTTATTCTTCCTTTGCTCAGTTAGCAGGAAGTTCTGGCAAGATGTCCACAGCTGGTTGAAAAATAAAATTAGTGAACTTGAACAATTTACCATCGAAGATATTCTAATTTATAATTCTAAAATAACAAGGGACCTTTCAATTTTGATTAACCTTATCATCATTATGGGTAAATACCACATTCACAAAAATAAATGGAAAAAACAATTGCCAAATGTAAACTGTTTTAAAAATAAATTTTCTATGTTTTTATCCTCCTTGAACCTTGTAAAGAAATCTAAACAAACTGTATGATGTATGTTATGCTGCTGAAAAGTTTTTGATCCTGTAACACATTATTTATTTGAAAACTATGCCTTGTTTTATGTATTATTTTTTATTTATTTATGTATTTATTTTTTCATTGTCAATCTGCATATTGTTGATGCCTGGCCTGTTTTTTGATGTTGTCTCCACAAGAGTTTGTAATAAACTTGCAAAAAAAAAAAAAAAAAAAAAAAAAATCTTCACTACTTCCTGAACTTCAGCCAGCTCCTTGTTTCCTCTCTGCCATTATTGGACACATTGATTAATTCAGGTGTGCTTGACCTCAGTAGTCATGGCAACAATAATCAGACACACCTGAATTAATCAATTTTGCCCAATAATGGCAGACAGGAAACAAGGAGCTGGCTGAAGTTCAGGAAGTAGTGCAGCTGTGCATAAAGCCAATTGAAGTGCCGCACAGGGTGTAATGTAAAATCTCGGTGCTCTTTGGTTGCTTGGGATAGTTGTGTTTGAAATCAAAGTAATAATCCAAGGCACTCGCATTGTAGTACAAAAGTTAAAAAGCCTTTATTAGTTCATGGTTAATTTCCTACAGTATGTCTGTTTAAAGCTGTTCTGTATTGTTGTTTATTTTAAAAAGCTCTATAAATGTCCATGTAAATGTTCATTTTGCCTGTAGTTCTGCGTTAATAAAAATATAATCCATTACATCTCGTGATTCAGTTGAAATCATTTATTATTGTATTGTGTGATTTAATCAGAAGTAATTTTTATAGCCTGTAAGTTTTGGTTCACTAATTTTATTGCATTGAATGCTATTGTATGATGTTCTGTTTTAAGAAATAATTATGACAAATCATGTGAATTAGAACACAAAATTACATGAATGTAATTAAAAAAAAAATTTATTATGCCTTATTTGTTTAATAACAAATAACTTAACGTTGCAAAACATACCTGAAAATGCTATTTCTTTCATTAATCAGGATAATTAATAAAATTATGATAAGTTTGATAATGATTACACATTACGATTTGTGATTCAGTAATTTTTATTACACTGTCCTGTAATCCAGGCTAGACAAACAATTCATATTATCAACATATTGCGCTGATTACTAAGACAAAAACAGTGACAAAATATAATTGCATTTCGAATACGGTAAGTATAAGCTGCGGTAAACCCTATTGGTAAACCTCAGCTAGCACGAATCATCGGAAAAATGCTATGCTACTAAGCTAACTAAAAAACGATAAATGTTTAAATTTACAATCTACAGCTTCGGTTATATACTAGTATACGAACCATATAAGTTAAAATACATTAATGACTCGTTATAACGTACTTCAAACGTCTCTTTTAATAAAGTGATTTGTAACCAGGCACTAAAGCGATTACCCATAAAACTAGCTTGGGTCCTAGGGTGGGACCCATCTCTTCAGGCGGACCAGTCTACTCTGTCTGGGCGGACCCATCTCTTCACCACAGGGGCTCTGACAGCCTAGATATCATATAGAGACCAGATACCCTATTGGCCGCTGGAAAACGAGAAATCCGGCCGCCATCTTGAACCGGTCGTATTCCCAGTCTCGTTGCGTGGCAGCAGATGAGATGCCAGAGCACTGTGGAGCATTTTCCTGTTCTAATCGCCGGACCACCGAAAATAGAGCTTTTCACAAGTAAGTCTTAACATTACCGTACTATTGGTTGTATTTTGTGAATAGAATATTACCAGATAATCGAGAAGGAGCAAGGATATTAGCTATTACTGTACTGAAATCGTTGTGAAATGCTGTTTACTGCATCAGCCGGTGTTCACCCGGCATGGAGAGGTGGGGTAACTGTTAAAGTAATAATTACAAGAGCTTCTAGGTTGTCAGATAAGCATTCAGCTGCCCTGTTGTATAGATTATTTGTTTGCGCACATCAGGAAGCAACGTAATATACATGACAGCGATGCGCAAATTGAGTTACCTCTCCAACTTGTTGATAACCTATACCACATGCGATTTGGCTATTGATATTACAGAAGTCCTGTGGTAAAATTACATTAACTTACCCCACCTTGTAAAGTTAATCTGAATAGGGCTTTAGTCTCGACATTTCCCCCCTCCTACATCCACATACAATAAAAATGTATAGGCTTAATGTTGTCCGAATTTAATTTTTAGAAATTAACGTTACTGATGCAAACACGTTGAAAAGCTTCTTCTCAATTTTTATTACAGGTGGCTGCGTTCGGTGGATTCGGTGGCTGCGTGTGTGTGTGTGTGTGTGTGTGTGTGTGAGAGAGAGAGAGAGAGAGAGAGAGAGAGAGAGAGAGAGAGAGAGAGTGTGTGTGTGTGTGTATGTGTGTGTGTGTGTGTGTGTGTGTGTGTGTGTGTGTGTGTGTCTGTTCGTGTAGTGTGTGTGTGTGTGTGTGTGTGTGTGTGAGAGAGAGAGAGAGAGAGAGAGAGAGAGAGTGTGTGTGTGTGTGTGTGTGTCTGTTCGTGTGTGTGTCAATCATAAACTGTTTCTTCAACTTATTAAAATATCTTACTTTACTGCTACTCTCTGTTTCTGCTTCTTTATTATATTTGTAGTGTGTGAATTATAAAATACATTATATCCTTCATCACATATAGTGTCTGGTCACTTTATATCTTATATCAGAATATTATATTACTGTTAACCTAAAATGGATATTAAAATACGCCGAACCATGTGTCCTCTATCATAGCTACATGAATGACCTTTGCAGCAAAAAAACCGCGTGAAAATCAGTTCAGTATTCAGTGAGATATGATTAATTTAATGCGCTGACAGCTCATTTCACCTGCCATTCAGATTGCACTGAGCGGAGCGGATGACCGGTTTAAGATGGCGGCTCCAATTCTCGTCCGTGCCAATAGGCAGTAGCGGTCGATAGGGCGTCTACCTATATGATGTCTATGTTTGACAGTACGCGATTTCGGACGCAGCTATGGTCAGAGCCCTCTGGCGCACTGTAATTACGTCAGCGTCCAGAATGATCTCATCTGTTTTGTTTTCATTCCCTCATTCACGAATGACATTATGTGCCATTCCTACTAACGAGTGACTGATTACGGAGTCGGACGCAGCTACTGTTCAGCAGAATACAGCTTCCGAATTACACTGGGAACCCCGACAACAGGAGATGACAGAAGATGTGCATTGAAAAGGTTTGGATTTGGTTGTTTAACGTTACCATGTGTAGACAGGCAATGACTTTGTGAGGTGGGACGCTGCGTCTATCGTTCCTTGTTCAGTTTCTTTGATTTAATCTTAAAAACTGATATTAGTTAATTTACATTAACTCGCTGTTGGTTAACGTTAGTAAGCGAGGCTATTTGTTATCCATTTCATTAGTCCGGGTCTCACGAAAGCACTATGTGGACATAACGTTACTAAAATTAATTTATACAGCACTACTGAACGATTTATTTGATAGTTTCCGCCAAAATAGTTTGGGTATTTCTCATCAAAGATCACCGGTGATCCCTGACTATCGCTGTTCTACCTTTATTACACATTTAATTTAATACTCATTACACCTACTTGATGTGGTTAAACTCAGCATCATTAGAAAGATTAAAGACTCCAGCCTCGATATTGACCACTGTTTATGATTAAACTGGTTTGCAGTGACATTCATTTCTTCATTTATCAGGATTGCGAAATAATAACGTTAGTTGTTTTGAATAGAAATCATCACTCATAAATAATTAATTCAGAGGGATAAATAGTGTGTAGAATTTTGTAGTGTATTTCTTTTATTTTATTTATTTATTTCTTTTTATTTTTTTCTTATTTTTTTAATTGAACAATAAGAACAAAACAAAAATAGAATATACATCTACAGTGGCATTGACAAATACAGGTAAATGAGTATTAAGCAAGGCACATATCACTTAAGGTAAAAATAAATAAATAAAAATAATTACAATGAAGAAAAAAAACATTAAAAAAATATAATAATAGTAATAATAAATTACAAAGGGGTCACTTTATTCCTCTTTTTAAAGCTCAAGGTCTCTTATAATTCCAGTCAATTTTTGGGCCTTTTTACTTTTCATACTTTCCAAAGCTGGAAAAAAATTACAAATCAAGTATTTTTTAAATACAGAAAAATAAGGTTTCGTTTTCATACATTTGGATTTATGAATAAAAAAATTTCCCAGCATCAACATTACATTAACAAGAAATTCGTTTCTTTTCTCGTTTAATAGCATTCCAAACATAATATGTTTTCTGGCAAAAGTAGGCAATGATTGAATCTTTGATTCCAACCAATAATACATATTTTCCCAAAAAGTATTTGAAGAAACACAAGAAAAAAAAAAAAGATGATCAGTTGTCTCTATATGTCAACTTGACAAAAAGTACAGGCATTTTCTTCAAAATTAAACCGTTGTCTTAAGAATTCACTAGATGTGGGTATACTCCATTGAATATTTTAAAATGAGTTTCCTTAGCTTTAGGAGCCACTGGAAAACTAATGTACTGTGTTCTCAATTTTTTAACAGCTCGTTTATCATAAGATTGCAAAACACAGTTTTTATATAGAAGTGTCGGATATAATATAGAATTGAAACAAGAGCGGATAAGCTTGTTGGGAATCATTGCTCTGAGGTCATTACCATTGAAGAGAAGGGATGGAAGTTCAAAAGGTCCATCAGGTATGTTGGCAGAAGCATTTTGTACAAAATGTATAAAACTTTTTGGAATGGCATTTAAAACACGCTCAAAAAGTTTGCGTTCACATTGTAAATTATATTTAGTACAAAAGTCTTTAAAAGTTAACAATCTGCCATCTTCATCTATCAAATGAAGAACTGACCAGATACCATTTTCTAGCCACTCAAGAACACATAGAGACTTATATTTAGAAACAATAAATCTATTGTTCCATATTGGGATTTTATGTGGAGAAAAATTATGGTTATATAATAATTTCCAATATAACAAAATCTGCTGGTGAAAAGACGATAATTTAATTGGCAGTCTGGAAACAGTATAATCGCATCTCAAAAGGAAATTAATTCCACCCAATTTTCTAAATATACCTCTGGGAATGCAAAACCAAAAACTATTCTCATTTGTTATAAAATGTTTAAGCCATTTGATCTTCAACATGCCATTCATACAATAGAAGTCAAAGGCTTGTAATCCACCATTTTCATAATTTTGTACAAGTACAAGTTGAGCTCTCTTTATATAGTGCACACGTTTTCTCCAAATATAATTGAAATTAATTTGATTAATGGTCTTAATAGCTCTATTAGAAATAGAGAGACAAGATGCAGGGTAGATACATCTAGAGAGACTCTCCATTTTAGTTAGACAAATCCTTCCAAAGATAGACAAATCCCTCTGCATCCATGCATCAAGCCTGCCTTAGTTTGCACTTATCCCATCTATTCTAGACATTTTGCTTTTCCATCATGACTTCATCCTTAGAAATGCTTATGCCTAAATATTTGACAGTCGACTTGATCGGAATATTATATGCAATTTTAAGAGGGCATTCATGTATGGTAATAATTTCACATTTAGCAATATTAAGCTTTAAACCTGAGAAAAAATAGTTAACTATCTCAATTACTTTAGGAACCTGGTCAAGACCTTTTAAAAAAAGAGTTGTATCGTCAGCCAATTGACTAAGTATGATTTCCTGTCCAAATACATTTAATTTTTCAATACTTGAGTTCTTAATTAAGAGAGCCAACATCTCTGTAGCCAGAATAAACAATGAGGGTGAGATGGGGCAGCCTTGTTTAACTCCTCTCTTGATATCAAATCTGGGTGAAGTACCTGTTGGTAGGGCCACTGAACTATTGGTATTTGTGTAAAATAACAGAATAATGTTACAAAAAACTTCACCAAACCCATACATTTTCAAACATTTAAAAATAAACTAATGTTCTAACATATCGAAGGCTTTGTAAAAGTCTAAAAATAAAATAACCCCATCATCCTCTATTTCCTGATTATATTCCAGCAAGTCCAAAACCAAACGAATGTTATGTATAGATCGGCCTCTAATGAATCCAGTTTGTGTCTCCCCGATAATTTTAGATAAACCAAGTTTTAAACGGTTATTATTTGTGGGTTAGTAATTTATAATCAGTGTTTAGCAAAGTTATAGGTCGTAAATTATCCAACAATCTAGAGTCTTTCCCTGGCTTGGGAATAAGTGTGATTAGGCCTTGTCTCATTGAATTAGGCAAAACCGCAAACTGCAAAAAGAAATTCCCTTAATAAATCTAAAAAATGGCGATAAAAATTAGCTGTCATACCATCTGGGCCAGGTGATTTATCCAATGACAGACACATAACAGCAGAATCAAGATCTTCAATTGTTAAATCTGCATCACATATCATTTTGAATTGATTATCTATATGAGGGACAAAATCTCCAATTTTTTCAAAGAGGGAATTAGGGTCTAATATTGAAGAGGATGAAGAATACAAATTCTGATAAAAGTTGGCGATTTCTTTAGCTATCATTTGCGAATTAGAACACTCTGTCCCATTAATAATTAAGGTTTTAACAGAATTTTTTTCTTGTCGCTTTTTTTCCAACCTACAGAAATAAGCAGAGTTTTTCTCCCCTTTTTCCATCCACTTGGCTCTTGATCTAATGTACGCTCCCTTAGCTTTCCTCATATAGATTTCATCCAACTCTGCTTGCAAAAGTAACAATCTTGATCTATCATCCTCCGTTAAAATTAATTTGTTAGAATATTCATTTATTTCTTTAATAACAGAGGTCTCTTTTAAATTATATGATTTTTTTTAACTGTTTACTATAAGAGATAGATAACTGTCGAACTTTGTATTTAAAGAATTCCCATTTACTTGTCCAGGAAACCAGGCTGTTATCATTTAAAATATTTAAAACAGTATCTTTCACCAGTTTTGTATAATCTTCATTTCCGAGAAGGTTAGAGTTAAACTTCCAATAACCCTTGTTACGGAAAGGTTTATTTGTATGATATATCATCAATTCAATTGAACAGTGATCTGTTAGGGGAGCTGCCGATATACTAGATATAGTTTGATAAGGTAAAAAACTATGAGAAATTAACCAAAAATCAATTCGGGACTTGCAAGAAGCATCAGGTTTAAACCAAGTAAACTGTCTTAGAGAGGGGTTTGACTCACGCCATGGGATCTATTAAACCTTGATTATTACAAAAGTTTGATAACAATGAATTGTAATGATTTACATTATACTTAGTTGGCGATCTATCTAACCACTCATCATACACCATATTGAAGTCACCACCCAATATAATAAGATCAGTCGCATACTTTGTTTTCATTTCCTCTAATATCAGTGACATTTCTGAAATTAAAGATTTGTTTTGAGATAAATTATTATAACCATACACATTTCCTAAGACAATGTAACAATTTTCGATTTCCAAGCATAACCAATGTCCATCCAAGCTAGATCTTGACTCAACTAGTTTCCCTGGAAAGTTGTTAAACAGAAAAGCAACACCTCCTGAGCGAGTTGTGCCATGAGCAAATAAAACTGGTTCACCCCACAGATTAGACCAAAAAGTACGATCACTGCCACATGAATGAGTTTCCTGCAAAAGAACTCATTGAGCTTTTCTTTCTTTACAAAACAAAAATGTAGCTTTTCTTTTTGTATTGTCTCTTAGACTCCTAACATTTAGTGAAAGAAAAGAAATGCAGCTATTAAGTTTAAACATAGAACAAGAAAAAGAAAAAATAAATAAATAACTGTGTTAACAAAACATCTTTACCCTACTGGGGACAGAAAAACTCTGGTTAATTAGGATTTAACACAAAATCAAACAAAATAATATGGACTGATGCTCTGGCAGATAAGTTTCATATTCAGCTCTTATAACTTACAGCCTCTTTATTGTTTCATAGCAGTTATCAGCCCGCGCTTTGATTAGTAGTTGAGATTAAACGGCCGTCGATGTATCCCAAAGGACCGCGATAGTACGCCTTCTTTCCGGCACTTCTGGCTTCTTGGATGAGCGGCCAAAGAGCTGCACGAGCACTCCGGTCCTCGGCTGACAGATCCTCCGCGAACCTGATTCCACGTTCAGTGCACAGCTGCGAGTTCTTTGTAATCTTCCAGAATTCGTCTCTGTATTTACGCATAGTGAACTGAACAATCATTTGACGGTGTCTT